GATTGTACCTTACCAATTCGAGCCGGAGTCTGATGATGAAACGGTTGAAGTGGCTGATCGACAAGAGACTGATTCGCAAGCATGACTGGAGCAGGACGTTTCTCAGTGGTAAGTGTCAAGTGTTAACAAGTTCGTGGTAATTATAAGATGTGATAAAACAAATTTACTCTCACAGCGTAGGATACAGCGTCTTCTCGACATGATGTTAACCACACAGAAATTTTACTGTTTGTGGGCGGGCAAGTTGGCGATGTAGAACGTGGGCAGACATTATGCAAATGTGTTACTTCGTGATGTAGCGCCGTAACAGAATAAGATTTGAATTCCTGACGACTCGTTTAGGCGATTGCGAGTCGACTCTTTTTTTTTTTATAGACAATAACTTTATTTATCGTGCACTGTCGGCTTCACAACTTTGCAGATAGTTTATGTTCACATACAGCTACACGACACACTGCATGAAAGGTAATATTCGAAAAGGCATAATAGGGGCACTTTAAAACATTATTTTATTGCAATATGATGGGTTTGGTATGATAATGAGTGATTTAATTGACTTGTGTGATTTTAGAATTTTCTTTGATTAGGAAATGTAAAAATGTAGTATATTATGATAATCAAGTATAATGGTAAAACTAATACTTTTATATTTTATTTAAAATAAATATTTTATCTTTTATTTATTATTTTATTATTACTTCCTTTGGAAATTAAAATTGTATGTTTTTTTTTTTATACATACTTTCTTCTTGGGCCTTTTACCTTGAAGTTGCATTTTAATATGCGTTACCAAAATGTCACAACAGTTGGAAATGTAACCTTACAAAAAATTTACCTTGGGAAAACATTTGGCTGCATGTAATTTACAATGTTATTCGAATATGATTAAGTTTGTTATGATAATTTGAATATAATGAGTAGTTTAGTTGACTTAATTCCTATGATTTTTATTGTTTTTTTATTGTTCAGGACAGGTATAATTTAGGTAAACTCAAATTCCTAAAGGCCTTTTTGTTCCTTAAAAACATAATTTCTACTGTCTCTGGAAAATGTTAATGTAATGTTCTTCAGTACTTCTTGGTGTTTGTTTTTTTTTTCAGAATTTTCTGTGGTGACTTTTATTTTGATATGCGCTAACAGGATGTCAAAACACAACAGTTTAGCTTTGCACAGTTTATCCATTTGGCTGTATGTAGTGATATTGTAATTATAATGTTCAAACTGATATGTTTCTGTATGAATAGGATGTTCTTTCTGTGTGTTTCTTACCCCCAAAGTAGGAGCCGTCAGAGAGCTTCATGCCAATATTCCCTTTGGTCAGTACGCTGACTACGCCATGCTGAATGAAGTACATCTTCTTGCCGATGGTTCCTTCTCGAATGATGTAATCTCCTGGTTGGAAGACCTCGAAGCGGAGTTTAGTTAACATTGCTGTCACAAAGTTGGGATCTGCGTTGGCGAAGAGCGGCATGGACGCCACCAGCTTCCGGCAGTTGAAGTTGACAATTTCCTGGAAATGCAGAAGTGAGTTTACTGTCAGTTCGAAGGCAGGTTATCAGTTGTGTATTGTTTTCTGCTGCTAAATGGTACCTCTCGTAACGGCTCGTTCAGTTCTTCCAAAATGCTTTCCTCGTTGAACATCTTGCCCTGGTATCTGTGCTCATAGTAATCATGGATCTTCTGCCGGAAGTCAGCCGGAAGTTTGTGGAAAGACATGTACTGCTCAACTTGCTTGTACTGAGAACAAAAAAGGACACAGGATAAGTTATGTTAAGCTGACATTTCAGGACACACTTTTGACCCAAAATTTCCAACCACCAACATGTGGGTTGCCCATTTGAATCCTATACGTGGCCTCTTTTGTGGAGACGTGATATGCTGACAGGGATCACAATATACAGATTAAAGTAAATATTTAAACATCCAGGCTTGTTTTTCTGTATGGGCATTCCTGCGGAAGTTATTTACAGTGGATGTCATAGACTAAAGAGTATATGATAATATGATGTTCTCAAAGCAGGAAGAGTATGATGAAACGGGTGATAAGCTGTATTCATAGCACAGTAGTTAACCTTTTCTGCATCATTGCCTGTCATTGTTGTGATGGCTTTCTGGTTTATGTTACAGGAATATACAGTACATTTATTGCATTAAATGGTTTTGGCTATGTATGATGATGTGTAGAAATTAGATTACATAAAACAAATTATATATTTATGGATGATTCAAAAGCATATCATTGATTCTTAAAACACAGACCTACTGCAGATCAGCCATTAGTTTTTAATGAACAACAATTATACTCTAGAACTAATAAGAGATGATCTCTAGAATATTTTTAACACGCTCCATATGATTTGATGTTTTTCATTTTTTTCTTTCAAAATGCATAACTCCGTATTTAATGTAGATATCGAACTAAGTAATGTAATGGAACTAATGTAAGAAAAAACATTACTTTTATGTCCTGCAAAGAGGAAGAGGTTTGTTTTATTAAATTTTCTGTCACAATGTGTATGGATGGATGGATTTTGATGTCTTGTCACTGAAGCAGTCAAGATCACACATTCCATCAAACACTTATTACCAAGAAGGGAGGCTATTTACAGTCTAGGGGTGTGCTAAATTTGAACATTATTTCAAAGGCAGTGTTAAAGGTAAGACGTCTTCTGCGGTCTCTCAGACCTCATATTCCAACATAACCCAACTATAGCAGGTCATGTGCACACCAGGATAATGACGTGGGGGAAGGTTGATGCTCCTTAGTGACCTCCCAGCTGGATGGATGGTGTTGGTAGGAAAAAGCATGTGGATAATGACTGTCGGTATGTGCGCGGTGACATATGGTCTGCTTGACAAGCCTTGGGTCAATCCTCGAGCTACTAACAGGGTGCAGTCTGTTGCACATGTTAGTGACAGGTGCTGTCTGTTTTACAAGCCATCGTATGGAGGGATTATGTAAGTATTTCCGCTAATTATTGGTGTTTGCTAAAGAAAGAATCACAGTTACTATTGGTCATATTTATGGCTTGGGATTTTTAAAACACTTTCAATGATTTTTGGACCCCACTGACTTTCATTATATGGACAATAACATTGCTTCAGAGTGTCTTCTTTTGTGTTCCACAGAAGAAAGTAAGTCATATAGACTTGGAACGACATGAGGGTGTTTTCATTTGTGAGTGAACTATACTATAAAAAGTATTGAACTTCCTGCGTGAATGCTAAAAGCCATAGCAGTGCCTTATCAAATAAGCATTTTCTTCACAATATGTAAAGAACAGTTATCTTCTCCATATTTGAATCAAAGAACCCAGAAACCAAGACAATCTAGAACCATCCCAAAAAGTTGGCGATAAAACTCGTTCTTAAGTGGTTGTACCTTTGCCAGACCAGTGAAAAGGGGTTGAGAAGAAGAAAAGACATGTACCAATAGATCTCCGCGCAGTTGTCATGACATTTGCGGCATATTCTTCAACAGATCTGTCAAGATGTTCCACAAAAAATCCTCTGTTTTTTCATTCTTGAATGATCTGATTAGATAACAATGAGCATATTCTGTAGATAGCATTGATAGTTGCGAAATGAGACAAATAACATCACTAATCCTCAAGAACATTGCTGAAGGCTTAAAATGCCTCATAATAAAGCTTACAATTCCTGTCAGATGCAGAAAGGCGCTGTATACAGCAGACGTGGCATGTGTGTGTTAGCATGCACACTGTTACTCATCATCCCTTTGGCAGTGGGTAGGGAATCATGGGAAGTGCAGTGACTGACTTTAATTAGCTCAGAGTGGAAATCCCTATCATAAACCCATTTCATGAAAACCTTTTGTTTCGGTAATCCAGCCCAAATCCTAATCTAACTCAATCTTAATTAATTATGATTGGATAAGGGATTTATACAATCGCATACAACCCAAAGAAACAACTGGGGGGGGTCCCAGCATGCCATTTTTGCTTTCCACTTTGTATTTCTTTCTGCGTGTAGTAATAGCACAATGCTAATTGCAACAGGCAAATAACTGGGAATAAGACACATCTGTAATGAGCCTAATTTACATGCAAAGGAGGTATGTTGGCACTGAAAACAAGAATTAATTTAAATACTGAAGGTTTAAAATGCAATAGTGGTGCAAATCCTTAGTAATTTCCCCCAAACTGCTAACATTGACAAAACCATAATTAAACATTCAATATCATGAAAAAGTATCACAAACGCCTGTGTTTACTTGCACACCAACATTTAGCCACCTCCAAATAACAGTGCCTACTTGTCTCGTCAAGCTCGACAAACTCTGTAATTTACGCTTTGTCCCTTTCGATCAAGGAAGTCTATTTTCTCCTCACTTTGGTTCATTCAATCAGCCTTGAAGTAAGACAAGGTGTTAAGCTGAAACGTGAAGACAATTGCTTGGACCTTGTTACAATCACTGTTTGAGTCTGTACTGCCAAGGTCTGTGTATTAGCACTGAAAACACTTCAGGAAAGTTTTAATTGCGCCAGTCTATAGCTCAGGAAACTGTAGTCTGTTTATACTCAGATACTCAGCTTATTTTCTTCCCTCTTGAACTTCCTTTGACTCAGCTTCCCTGGGCTATCGGTCTGGATAGAAGAATAAATTAAGGAAGCAAGAATGAACGGTAGGCAGAAAAGTAGAAAGCTATGTGGCTGTAACAAAACAGAGTTAGCATTAGCTTAGTGTCAGTAAGATAAGCTACACATCTGGTGACCTGCACTAAACCTCTGGACAGGTAGATGATCAGATTAACCTGTGTAAGCTTCCTAACAGACGTCATCAAAGAAGCGATGCAATGTTGCATAATATAGTGGACATAATCAACTTTGTCCTTCCAATATGAATGAATTGACATACACTGCTATCAAAATCCTTTCAGGGACAGTTGAACTGAAAAAAAAAATTGTACTTCCATAGCTCACTCACTGTTGTTTGCTTGCAATGTACAATGTACAGAATTGCTTCTAACCCAAGCTAGCTTACAAATCGCACAGCTCCAGTAAGCACGTGGAAACGAGCTATTAATTATGAACTGAATGTTAGCGCACATGCTAACTGCATGAAATCCTATCACATTTTCAGGCAGTCCACAGTTTTTTTTTTTTTCTTTTTAACAGGACAGGCAGTTTATCTTCTGTCAGTGACATAAAGGGATGATATATTTCCCATGACCATCTGCCAAAGCATCAAGGTCATCGTAGTCACCAAGGAGGGGGGATGAAAGCCTAAGTCCTGTGTACCATATATCAAGCTTTTGTTCCAGATGGACATTGAGTCCATCAGCAGATACACTTATACCATAGATATCCAACGGCAACTAGGATTATGGTGGTTTACCGTTGGGTAATAACCAACATGATGCGAGACCCCTACAACCCTGTAGTCCACAACCTTACACAAAGATCAGAACCACTTACAACAGTAAGGTGGTAATTCTTCTGTAATATTGTTGCCAAAAAGACTAAGAACTGTAATATATTATTCAAATGGTTTCCATACATGACGCTGTCGATAACAGTCGATATGTTTTCTTGTGTACAGTTCATGTTGTAGAAAACGCTGTGATCAATATTCTAACATACTGATCTAAGCAGAGACCGCGGTGCGTAATGGTCGATTGATACAGCTCGATCTGTACATCTCAGCAGGTCTGTACGCACAACCACAATTCCCTGGGGTGCAGTAATGTCGAGAGTTGACAGAAACTGATCTGAGACTTGTGTTGTTCTACTCCATGCGAACATTTGTTAGAGGCTGGACCTAAACAGGTGTTTGAAAGTCAATGTTTAGCAATGTAATGCTTGTTACATAATGGCTAACGTCCCGTTCATCTGTCGTTGTCTGGCAATCCATTGGTTTCCACATAGCAGGGGAGATGGACATGTGTTGGGACGATCTACACAGGGACATTGTGCTGTTTGTTCATCAGGTTGCAAAGGCGTGAGAAATGTTTCTGTCTGTAAAGAAGGGATTCTCGACTACACTGAAAAATTTGTTAGCCAAACATCTGCTAAACTTTCTTTCGTATGCTTTTTGCAATGGCTTTTCTGTGTAAATACATTCCTACAATTCCCCGGGGTGCAGTAATGTTGAGAGTTGACAGAAACTGATCTGAGACTTTTGTTGTTCTACTCCATGTGAGCATTTGTTAGAGGCTGGACCTGAACAGGTGCTTGAAAGTCAATGTTAAGCATAGTAATGCTGGTTATGTAATGGCTAATGTCCCGTTCATCTGTCGTTGTCTGGCAATCCATTGGTTTCCACATAGCAGGGGAGATGGACATGTGATGGGACGACGGGGGATCTACACAGAGACATTGTGCTGTTTGTTCATCAGGTTGCAAAGGCGTGAGAAATGTTTCTGTCTGTAAAGAAGGGATTCTCGACTACACTGAAAAATTTGTTAGCCAAACATCTGCTAAACTTTCTTTCGTATGCTTTTTGCAATGGCTTTTCTGTGTAAATACATTCCTGCTATTCTAGACATGCAAAAACTTGTGACCATCACAGCAATCCGCTTTTTCCTCTCCACCAGTGTGATCCCCTTGATCTAAAATGTGCTCAAAAATCATTAACTTTTTAATGTGTAGTTTGGCACAAATTGCATGTTTATTTTAGATCATGAGGGCAAAACCAGCTTCCTATGGGCCCTTTATCTCATGCAAAGAATGGCTTTTGTTGATATCTTTAGCACGTTCTACTCCCCTGCTGCCGTAGTGGCTCTGTTATCTGATGGCAAGCAGCTCTGTTGCTAGTGATTAATGAAGAGGAATGTCTGCCGCCTGAGGCGAGATTTGATGAGCTCCACCTAAAGTCCCTTTGGGATTCTCCACATTACATCATTCCTTCAAATGTTGTCATAATATATGTATGTTTAGAGTAGAATTAAAGTTATGCTCTTAATAAAGACTAGCAGAATTACCTTTAAATACATTTTAGTACCTTTGAATGTGCTTTATATATGTAGTGAAACACTACTTCCCATCCCAGCTTGATGTGCAGAAACAACTATGTTGTTTCTATAAGTTTACTATAAGTAAGCCATTTGTAGGTGGACTTTCCAAATTTTGTAAAATTTTCAACTCAAACAATGGCCTGAGCGAACTTTGAGCAAACAAAGGAAGA